TAGTTCCGAGTCTGATGTGTTCGTTTTTAGTCGCACTGGAAATGGTAAATCATTATGTTATTATGCTTTACCAGCCTGTTGAGTATTATAGAAGAGTAGGTGTTATACCTCAAAGCTCATGGTGTCACTGCAACATATATTGGCAGAAATGAAGCCGAAGATGAAGACATCAGAAATGCAAAGCCCCAAACGCTTTTTGGTAGTCATTGTAACAAAGCTTTCTATTGGTCGGTAAACTTTCTATCGCGCAACCACGTGACATATACGGTTATGAATAGAATTACCGCACGGTGTTGTGGAGGGAGGAATGTTCGAACGGAGCAACACCGTGCAGGCGGACGATGGCCTAGTACCTCTATAACTATCTCTATTGATTTCAGAATTGCAGGGGGAAAAGTGTACATATATGAGCCATTTAAACTACCATTCATCTTTTTTGTACAACATTAACTCTCCGTGAAAATATTGAAATATGCTATTTTGTACTTTTTGGACTTTTTCATAAAATTGCAATTTGACACATCTTGTTTCTCTACCTTCTTTTTGTGATGGTAAATGTTCTGGAATATATCCAGCATAATTCTCTTGGTATTTTGCTTCTACACATTCCTAATTGGAATGCAAACATATTACATGGAGATCCCGAGTAACACAAATTACTATGATGCATAGACCCACAACTAATTAATTTTGAAACTGATGACTGCCAAAAGTTTCTATGTTCATATTTTAGTCTTCATATAAACTAAGATTTTTTTCATAATCACTATCTTGGTTGTTCTTCAATGTCATCATCATACTGTTACATCTCTTCTGTAATCTATCAGAAAAAGGACCGAATGGCCACACTGGCTCCAAAACGCCTCCACCATTATGCCCAATCTTGTCCAGGATCATATGGCTTTGGAGACCAGAAGATTAGAATACGAGGTATCTGCTCACAAGATAGCAAGGCGATGGCGCACACGACTATTGTGCCGGATAAGGTTGTCTTGGCAACATTGCATACAGGAGTGGCCAATCATAGATTTCATTGTCACTTCCCAAACCATCTTCCTTAACATGATTCCACGTACAGTGTCAATAGATGCCTGGATGGTTAATGCATACACTAGACATGTGAATGCCTCAATTCATCAATCATTTCTGGCTTTACAGACCATTCATCACCAAGTTATATTAACTATCCAACTTAAATAAAAACAACATGATAGATACAAGATTTTCATTGGTAATAGAAGTAATGTCTAAAAGCTTCATGATAAATTGTATGACATTTTAACAACTTTGGATGCATATTTCAAGTAAAGTACAATCCTTGTGTTTGTTTCCTGTTGATTTGACAACAGATCACGAACTTATTGTTTTGTAACCTGCAATGATATACATGTACCAACATGTTGAATTTATGATAAAAATGGTTTAAATGAATTTCTGCATGGAATTCAATTACTTACCCCACCATCAGATGAATGAAAATGGCATGCCTTGCCAACCATTACTAACAATACTATTCCAAGTTGCTCCATGCGGGATGCTACTGCATTCCTGCTCCACACCTGATGTTGTAACAGTTAGGATAGCTTTATTTTGTTCATTTGCTAGGAAAAGCTTGAAATCACTTGGTTTTCTTCTAGCTCTTGTACAGATACTGTTGGAAGATCATCAGTGTAATCTCACCCGGGCTTTAATAGAATCGGCATGGTAAGCATCTATTGAGAAGATACATGTAACATATTGTTGGGCACCATCTCATATAATACTAGCAGACATATTTCTCTAAACGTAGAAATGTTTATTTGGGCATGAAAAAGTGCATTGCTATTGGATGCGTAGGGCACCTTTTTGATAAGGCATATCCTTCTAACCATCGTCTATGAAGAAATGTAGTAGTGCATATTTATTGTTCTTATTGAAGATGAACATCAGCTGTTACGAGACTACAAGGGTGTGAGTGAATATATTATCAGTACATCAAGAACACTTTTCACAAATATTACATACCTTTCCATGTGAGGCGGTGAGCTTGACTGTTTTGTGTGACGCGACCAGTGTGTTCAACTTAAGTTCCCTTCTGTGAAGAGCAGTCCGCAAATCGTCAGCCAATAAGAATGGATTGATGAAGTTACGAATAGCAGCAATGGTATATAAAAAGTGGAATTGACACCTCCAATACCAATTGTAAGACCAATTGTAACCCACCTTCATAAATGTCTCCTTCATTGTATATTTGTCTACTGCACTGTGATACCCTGGGATTAGGGAATGTGCCACTGCAATGCTACCTTTTTTCACCTATTTAGCCCCACGATAAAATGTTTCAATATATGCAAGGAAGGCATTCAATCATACCAATATCTGAAAAAGTGGGAACAAATAAAATAGGATGTATGTGAGTCAAAAAACGAATGAACGGACCTTGTCTTCGTATGCCTTGTACTTCAAAATGATGGAAACGGATAGATCGTGCAAGGCCCTACATTCTTTTTTTTTCATTAACGCGCTCTATCAACAATCGTTCAAACAAAGTCTTTACAAATGCACACCCTTTTTTAGCACACTCTTACGCCAGCCACTGTTACAGTTCAGCCTCAAGGACGATTTCAGAGTAGCCGGAACCCATGCATTTATGACTAGTCAACATTGCCCATGTAGTTCATCACGCCGTTGAAAGACTGTGGAGTTGCCACATAGTTCTTCTGGAACATTTTAAACGAGGTGAAGTACTTTCATACAACCTCCAAGGTCATAAGCGCTGAAAACATATACTTCTGGTCAAACCCTAATGTAGCATATTCTGATTGCTTCAACAACTCCCTGACAACAGAATATTCAGTGAACGGCTGTTTGAAATAGCCAATGTTCGAATTAACGTGGCAAGGCCGACTGCAGAGAATTCCAACGTCGAATGAAGAAACTGAATGTTCACAACAAGTACACAACGTACGTTCATTGTCAAGTGTCTTTCTGGAGAGCAATGGGAGTCGCTCAAAACCTATCACTAGTCATGTGATCAGTGATGTCACTGAGAATTACAAATTTCCCCCGGATGTTATCAATATTATCACAATCCAATGACCGAATTAATCATCACGTTGTGTAGAAAATCGGCAATACTACAAAAATGCCACACCTGCCAGATACACCTATTTGAGTTCATGTAAATCTCCCCTAAATGTTTTGTGTTGAACATTTGTTATCATCACTAAACAGAGCGCAGCAAAAAGATTGCTCTCATATTTACTTGGATGGGTGGGGAAAATTCTTCTTTGAAAACCTTTTCTTCAGATTCGTTTCGAATAATACCTGTGAGGTACACCGCCATTACTATACTTGATATCTGGTTTATACCAGGTTTATTTGTTATGTGATATATGTATCAAATAGTAGAAAATATATGGATTCCTGATTACTTATCATTTACTAGTAATTTCTAATCACTACCACACTGAGTTAAGAATATTGTGTGCCTTGATCACTATACGGAATCACATTCGTCAATTCCATTCGTTCTCTAAGTTTGTAGATTTAGCCCCCGATTTCATTCAATTTGTAGATGTGAAATCAGATGAATAAATGATGAAAACATGTTTATCGTCGTAATAATTCTATTTAATTAGTTGTGATATTTGTTATTACTGAGATGATGTAATACATCATATAAAAGCGTAAATTATGGTGAGAAATATTATTGGATAAAATGTACAATATTTGGAGTAAATCGTAAAAAATGTATCAAAAAACCGCTACACCTCGAAACCACTTAGAAACATATTTTAAGGTTAAGGTATAAAACACATTGTAAATCCAATCACAGTACCTGCTTTCATATATTTCTATACTCTATAAGACGACTCAAAAAAGTGTTAAAATAAAACAACAAAAATATTACATTTCATGCTAAAAATATATTAATTTGTGTAGTAAAAAATGTATTATTTTGTTAAAAATTATTTCGCTAAGGATCGATCTCAGGACCTTCTGCGTGTAAAGCAGACGTGATAACCGCTACACTACGAAACCACCAGTTTTCCATGCCTGTGAACTGTTAGTCTTATCAGAATCATAAATGTGGTAGTCTGCAGTAATTATATAAAATAAAGTTTGCGTTTCCGGGTAGAACGCCATAACTATAAATATAAATGAAGGTGAGAAATAAAAAAAACCCGTTAGACTGGTTGGTGATCCACTCCGCTCAAGAAACCAAACAACATGTTTTCGGCTGTTGCCATACTAGGTCATAAACTTGAACCTATCCTTGGTGTATAACTAAAACCGGGCTCTCTACACGAAGTTCGCAAACAATATTCAGTCTTTAGAAGTCACTTTACTATATTACTGGCACGTATTCTACCGTTATAATTATTATTTCCGACCGTTTTTCGATTTTAGATTTTTTGACCGAACCACAGTCCCTCGACTGACCGAACGCAGCATTTACAGTTCATTTGAAGTTCAAAGTTGTGTTGGGATTACGTTAATTACAGTGTAATAATTTCGGAGCCGGCGACCTTTGTCTGAGTGCAATTTAGCCGACGTAAAACGGATGGTAATTTGAACACTGCTATCGCAAGATTGGTAGGAGGTAATACATTTGGGGCGAAAGTACTCAAAAATCAGTTTTTTGGCTGTTGCCATTGCATTAGTGGGCCCGGATTTTGTTTCTGATTAGTGACCGTGACGGTATGACCTGCCTGCCAAGAAGAAACAAATCACAGAAAAAGTTAAAAAGCCGTCACTGGTGAAAAGTTTCGCCAACTTTGAGGTCAAATTTCTCAGTAATGAACAAGATATATAAAACAAATAGTAAATCTGTGCCCACATGTCTGAGGGTTTTAATCCTAGAATTTTAGAGAGATTTACATTTGCCCGAAAGTATTTAAAAAGTAAGTTTTTTGCTGTTACCGTGGCAACGGTGGGCCAGAATTCTTCTTCTCATTTTGCCTACTAACTAGAGTGAAGGTGTGACCTCCCTGCCAAGTTTGAGCGAAATCGACCAAACCAAAAAAAAAAAAAAAGAAATTAATACGTAAGGACACTGGAAATTACACACACACACACGCACACACAAAAGTGATCTTAAGGACAATCTTAGCGGAGCGGATCGCAAAAATATTACATTTCTTTAGTAAAAAAAATGTATTATAATTGTATCGTCTGTTAAACGTCGGTAGTCGTCGCGCAGCACGGGCTAGAATTTCCCGTAAACAAACGTATTTACACGCGTTATATACTAGTACGTCGCAATGAGACCCGTGTTGAACAGTACGTGTCAAGACGACCACCGCCCTATGAACATACGTATATGCGTGGGAAATAAATGTGTTTATCCTACTATAGATAACGAATATATAGGTCACGAATGTACATGTATTTACTTTGGATACTATCAATAAAGTCCAAATAATCATAATATTGTTAGTTGTAAACAATCCTTCAACTCGTATCACTAATTTAAAATCGTTGACAACAATCTAATTTGATTTTTTTCATTCCGATATCTATGACGTGGTTTTACAATGACATTTGAGAAAGCAAACACTTTGTGGTTTTCGAACAATTTGCCAGTGGACGACATGTTGTTTATGATAGCGCCCCCTAGCGTTAAATGTTCTCAGTAGTTATATTTTTTTTTTAGTCGTGGCACAGTCCTCCTTTATGGTGGGACCAGAGGCGGATCTAGGATTCTGGAATAGGGGGGGGGCGATAAGTTGGCCGAAGGCCTAGTTCGCGAGCGCCGATGCGGGGGTTAAAAATAGGGGGCCGCGGTCCCCTCAGCCCCCTCTAAATCAGTCCGCCCCTCGGGACAGTGGTCGTGGTCAGCCTAGTCAAGTATTTTTGGCTCAATTTGAATTTGGTGTACGCTTCATGTGGAATGTTCGTAATTGATAAATAAATTTTAGGTAGTATTCTGACATTCTCATAATTGTAAACAGTTTGTATTGTACGTTCATGTTACGCAGATTAGCAGCTCAGACTCATTAACATAATTTTAAATAATGTTTAGATACGCCTTTATATATAAGTGAAATGTTCAGTCCTATCTCCTAAACCCACAAGTATAGTACACGCTCCTCTCTTAAAAACAATTTACGCATTACTAAATGGAAAACATCCATGGGTCAGAGGACGTTTCAGTATAGAGGGGTAACCCTATGGAATAACTTACCACCCCATATCAGAAATTCAGCCTCATTAAGCATTTTTTTAAAAAACTTACAAAATATATCTTAGTGAACAATTTGTTGTAAATGGCTCAAGCCTATAGTGTATATATTGTGTATGTTGTTTCTACAGAGGGCCAAATGAAAATTACTTTATTGTATATTGACCTACTCTCTTTAAATAAAGTGTTTAAATAAATAAATAAATAAATAAATAAATAAATAAATAAATAAATAAATAAATAAATAAATAAATAAATAAATAAATAAATAAATAAATAAATAAATAAATAAATAAATAATGCACATCTAGTACGTATCTTTTCTTAAGTTCTATTTAGTCTCAAGTAGCCTGAATATTTCGTGTTGAGTTGATTGAACTTTTGTTCATCACTGAGGTGATTATGCATTACATAATATAAAAGCGTAAATTATGGTGTTAAATCAAAAAATATAACATTTCTGTAGTAAAAAAAAATATATTACTACTTTGATAAAAATATAATGATTTCGCTGAGGATCGAACTCAGGGCCTTCTGCGTGTAAAGCAGACGTGATAACCGCTACACCACGAAACCATCCACGATTCTCGAAGGACCTTTTGTCTCCACAGTACTAAAATTGTACCATCTGTTATTGGTTTCACCAATACGCCTCATTTACTTAACATATTTTCGAGAAACTTTTGATCCCAGTAATATCTGTGGTCGTTTTATGCAATAAACGAGATCCATATTAAACCACATCTATATAGGTTGGCGATTTAATTGGAGTTTAATAAAACTCAATTACAGCGCAATTCAACATAGAATTGAGTTTAAAATTAAGTTTAATTAAAGGGGAAGTCAAGCCAAACAACATTATGTTCCCCAAGAAAAGAGTTCCACAATTTTTGTATATCACTTTTCTTTCTCTAGATATTCGACTTTTCAACAATATTATGTAGTCTGGTATCTTGATTCTCTGGCAAAGGATTGTGGGTAAAGTGTGACTTCATATCCACTGTTGTGAAAAATTGAGAAAATGCGCGGCCTTCATCTATAACGTGAGAAATACTGATGCAAATTTGTTCAAATGTTCGGTGTGCATATTACTCATGTATATTATTACAGTAATGGAAATAGAATGTTACAAATACATATAAAGTGAAGATATTGCCACAAACGTAAAAAAATAGAATTCATTATTTTGGTCGTTAAAATGACACTTTTAGTCCCCTTTTTGTGGTCAACAGGTTATATATCACAGATATAACCTACTCGAATCAATAAACTGTATACAATATTAGGAAATGTGGGCACTTGGTAGAAAAACACAAAATTGAATATTTTCAGTACTGTTGCCATGACAACTATTTTACATGCATGTTTCAGCCAATTTGAAGTTCAACTTTTGAAGTTATAGATGAAATCATTTTCTCAATTTCTGACGACAACAGAGGATATGATGTCATACTTTACCCATAATCCTTGGATGAAGAACCAAGATATGTTCACGGATTTTTCGAATTAAAAATATTCGCGTTCATAATAGAGAAAATAGCAAAATATGAAATCAAGCAGAGCATCATGGGTATCTAACTGCGAACAAAGACATAAATTGTATTTATTGCATGTAAAGTCATCATTTTGACCACAGACTTAACAAAATTATGTGCTCCAAATAGAGCAAATAGGACACATTTCATGACGATTGGCCGGCTACAATTTATAATACACATAATGCAAATATATACCTTCATTTACAATTCTGGTCGATACAAAATGTTTGGGTGTATTCAGACTGAATATTCGTTTTCTGTCACTATTAAAAGGGGTATTTCGTTTAATGTTTGAGTTTAACTTCAGAGAGATAAAGAATTTCGCAATTCTTCTGTTTTGAGAGAAATTTGTTGTATTATGTATCTGTTGAAACAAATCACCTTGTCCGTACTTATGTTCTTTTGTGTGAAGTCAGTTGATTCTAATTGATTTGCACACAAATGAAAGATTTAGGAGTGAATGACTTGTTTGTTTATTCATGGTATTATAATAATATTTATTGACACAACACTGACGCAGAGGTACAGCAGTATGGTCTTTAAAAAAACTTAAACTAAGACATACGACATACAACACGACTAGAAACTATAAAACTACAAATGTAGAAATTAAGTTTAAAAGTTGAGTATTAAGTATTATAATACTGGACATCGTTTTTGGGCATGCTTTAAGTCGTACACACAGCAGCGAAAATCCTCATTTGACGGCGCATAAACAACTCACGGTTTATTTACAGTACAATCGTCACGTGACCGCGACCCAACGCGTACATACAAAGGCAGTGTGTCCTATTTTAAGGACATCGTCCTTTTATATCCAATGTGACCTTGATATTGACCTTTGCCTATCTTATGGTTAGTGAACATGGACTTCTATCCACAGCGATCAGATTTGAATTCTGAAAAACGGTCTTCCAGTTTTGTAAACAAGGGAATTATGCTTGAAGGTAAGTTTCCCACCACAGGTGTTATCGTATAATGTACTTAATAGTATTACCCACGGTTAGCAACCGTCTATTACCCAAGGATAAATCGCCATTGTTATCTCCAAGAAATTCACTGATATCATATGGTAGCCATTGCTGACTACAAATATTTCGGGTTTTGCACAATATCAGAAAAGGTCACAACAGTGTGCACACGATAATGCTATTTCCCGAGCTTTATTATATACCAACCGGCCTCGCAATTAAATCAAAATAACGTTGTCCATTTACTAGTAGTCGTCTGCAGGATTATTACATGAACCTTTACGCCGCCATTTTTATTATATTGTGAACTCACATGATATATAGTATATAATTTAATTCATTTCAAAT